CACTTTCCCAACCTCTCACCCCTGCCCCGGCCCCTGGTTGTGGTTACTAATCTACTTTCTGTTTCTATAGATTTGCTGCTTCTGGACATTTCGTATACATGGAATCCTATGATACGTGATCTTTTGTGACGGGCTTCTTTCACTTAATGTTTTCAGGGTTCATCTACTTTGTAGCAGTGTATTCATTCCTTTTTATTGCCAAATAATATTCCATTACATAGTTTATTTATCCACTCAGCAGTAAACGGACATTTGGATTTCTTCTACTTTTTGGCTATTATTAACAAGGCTGCTGGGAACATTCATTACAAGTTTTGTGTGGGTGTATGTTCTCATTTCTTTGGGCATATGCCTGGGAGCGGATATATACTGGAGCATATGGTAACTCTACATTTAACCATTTGAGGAACTGCTGCGCTGTTACCCAAAGTACTGTCACCATTTTGCATTCCCAGTAGCCAGTCTGTGAGGGCTCCAGCTTCTGCACATCCTTGAAAACACTTTTTTTGTTCTTTGGTTTTTCACCGTCCTAGAGGTCTAACTAAATATATTGTGAGGGAATTTATTTTTAGACTGTTTTTTGGTTTTAAATGTTTGACTTTTTATAGGCAGGAATTATTCTGAAAGATTTGAACTAGAAACAGAAACACACATCAAGGCTCCTCCTTGAATCAGATGTAAACATGTGTACTTCACACCCAGTGGTGCATACCATGACTGGTTGTACCCTTGGGATGTTCAGGAGACTCAGGCTTGGAAGGGACCATCATTTCTGCTGCATCTGCACCACAAGGCACTGGAGCTTCTGCTTGCAGAGAGCTCCACCACTCCCTCACTGTGCATGGGCAGCTCATTCAGGTGTCTAAGACTCCCATTATCGAAGGTCTTACCTTCTAGAGATCAAAATCTGCAATCATTGCACTCCTGACTGTGTTCCCAGCTCTGCTCCCAAAATGCACAGGAAATAGGTCCAGTGTTCCTCTTGGGTTCCCGCTTTCTTCCCGGAAGTGTTTCCTCTCAGGTCTTCACTCTGAACAATTTTTCGCAGATCATGCTTTCTACTCCCATTGCCTATAAATTGGCAGCTTTCCTGGGTCTCTTAAGTTTGCTGATATCTTATTTTTAAACATGTCTCTTTGAACTAAGCATGTTGTGCTTCAGATGATGAGAGCATGTTGACAGAGCAGATTTATCACCTTCCTTTCTGTGGCTAGAATGTTTCTTTGGCCTAACATATATTTTACTTCTGTTGAGCTCACCAGAGCCATGAAACTTCTATAGCTACACTCTTTTCTGTATGTTTTTGTTTTGTTTTCACTTCTTAAACTGGAATTCAATTACATGGTACAAAATTTTAAATGTATAAAAGAATATTTGATAATGTCCTTCCCACTTCTGCGCCCCAGGCATGTAGCTCTCCGTTCTAGAGCTACTCAGTGTTACTAGTTCCTGCACATCTTCACAGAGGTTTTTTTTTCTTTTTTTTTTTTTAAAGATTTTATTTGACAGAGACATAGCAAGAGAGGGAACACAAGCAGGGGGAGTGGGAGAGAAGCAAGCTTCCCACCAAGCAGGGAGCCTGATGTGGGGCTCGATCCCAGGACCCTGGGACTGTGACCTGAGCCGAAGGCAGACGCTTAATGACTGAGCCACCCAGGTGCCCCTTCACAGAGATTTTTAAAACAGCTTTGAAGTATAATTTGTATACCACAGAATTCATACTTTTTTTTTTTTTTTTTAAGAGCAGGGGGTAGGTTCAGAGGGAGACGGAGAGAGAGAATCTTAAGCAGACTCCATGCCCAGCGCAGAGCCTGACATGGGGATCAGTCCCAGGACTCTTGAAAATATGACCTGAGCCGAAATCAAGAGTCGGACATTTAGCCGACTGAGCCACCCAGGCACCCCTTAAGCCCACTTTTTAAATTACGTATGTGGAATGTCTGAGTATTTATTTAGATCTTTAATTTCTCCCACCAGTGTTTTGTAGTTTTCAGTGTGCAAGCCTTGCACTTCTCTTGTTAAATTTATTCCTAATTATTTCATTCTTTTTGATGCTGTTATGAATTGTTGCCTTAATTTTATTTTCAGATTGTTTATTGCTAGAATATAGAAATGCAATTGATTTTTGGGGGGGCACCTGGGTGGCTCAGTCGGTTAAGCATCTGACTCTTGCTTTCGGCTCAGGTCATGATCTCAGGGTCCTGGGTCAGTCAGGCTCCATGCTCAGCAGGGAATCTGTTTCTCCCTCTACCCCTACCTCCTGCTCATGCACGTACTCTCTCCTCCCTCTCGCTCGCAAATAAATAAAATCTTAAAAAAAAAATACAATTGATATTTTTTTATCTTCTTGATTTTATATCCGCAATCTGGCTAAATTTACTAGTTCTAAGACTTCTTTTAATGGATTCCTTAGTATTTTCTATGGACAGGATCATGTCATTTGCAAATAAAAACAGTTGTACTTCTTCCTTTCCAATCTGGGTTCTTTTCTTGCACAGGTATTTTATCCATAAAAAAGCAAATACCTGCATATATTTTCTTTTTCTCACAAACCTGGCAGCTTTGCTTTTTATACTTAACAATCTAGCCTGAAAGTCAGTCCCTTTCAGCACCTAGCATGCTTTCTCCTCTTACAGCTGCAGAGGAGGTATAAGTATATTGCCAGTCAGGCCTATCTTCCTCACCACCCTTTCTATCCTCATACATTTTGGGTTTTTTAACATCACAGTAGTCTCTTGGTTTTTTGTTAGTTTTCTGCAGTTTGTAACCTAAATCATTTGTTCTTCCTAACACTTCTGTACTTTCAGAAATGCAGATGCTCCCTTATTGAGCTGGGAAAACTGACACAGAGAGTGCTCTCGAGTAGAGACAGCTAGTCAAGGGAGGATGTCTTCCGACTCCAGACACAGAGCTTTTTCTACTGTATCAAAGTGTTTTTTTTTTTTAACTTTTATTTGAGAGAGAGAGTGAGAGAGAGCATGAGAGGGGGTAGGGTCAGAGGGAGAAGCAGGCTCCCTTCCTCCTGCCCAATGTGTAGGGCTTTACAATTACCCCTTGTTTGATTTGGCATCATTCCTGTTTATTATTTTGGATCTTGACAGTCATTTAGGCCCTCCCAGATATGCATCATACAAGAAATCACCTACTCCCCCTATCTCCAAGACACTGATATATAAAATGTTAAGAAGGAATAGCCAGAGCTAACCAAGTAACTGGACGTGAATGGTACTTAGTAAGTACTTGCTGTTGAATCAAGGAAAACATTCATTAAAAACCTTTGTGTCTTAATAATAACATTTGGGTAAGAGTGGTTCAACCAACTTATTTTATCATTTAACCCACATAACTCCATCTTGCCCTCAAAGATGTCACGACAAGTTTTGTCATTGTATTGAAACCTAATTGTACTCAACTCCTCATTCTTTTGGCTTACCAGTTAGTGACCATATCTACTAGAAAAAAACAGGCTCACCTGGCAGGGCTCATTCTGCCTGTCTTCCTGAGCACTAGCTGAAATGTGCTCATCTTTTCTTTGACCTCCAAATGCTTGCAAATTATTAGATTGGTGATCCGTTCTAGAATTTTACATGTCATCATTGTTAAATCCACCAGTTTGCAAGCTTATCTTTTTGAAAATTAAAACATTTTTTTTTTAGATTTTATTTATTTGACAGAGAGAGACACAGTGAGAGAGGGAACACAAGCAGGGGGAGTGGGAGAGGGAGAAACAGGCTTCCCGCGGAGCAGGGAGTGCGATGTGAGGCTTGATCCCAGGACCCTGGGACCATGACCTGAGCCAAAGACAGACGCTCAACGACTGAGCCACCAAGGCGCACCATGAAAATTAAAACATTTCTTTTTTTTTTAAAGATTTTATTTATTTATTTGTCAGAGAGAGAGCGCACAAGCAGGGAGAGTGGCAGGCAGAGGGAGAAGCAGGGTCCCCGCTGAGCAGGGAGCCCGATGTGCGACTCGATCCCAGGACCCTGGGATCATGACCTGAGCTTAAGAAAATTAAAACATTTCTTGTCCCCATTGCTCCTCTGTTTCAAGTTTCTAAAAGAAACTGTTTCAATTTCTTAAGGGCCCTGGAATACAGTTTATTAGTTCAGGGAGCAGACATTCTCAGTTTCCTTTCCTAACCTGGCCTTCAGTTCACCTTTACCAAACTTGCTTAAGTAGGTAAGTACCTGGCATTTATGAAAAATATAAATGCCCAGACCCCTCCCCTAGAGACACTACCTCATTGTTCTGGATTAGGACCCATTACCCCAGGAGACTGTTGTGATGAACAAGTTTAAGAAACACTGTTTTATACATTTTGGTCATCTTTTTGTCATTCACTAACATCCCACCATCAACTTCAATCCATGAAGTTGCCCTTCTAGCTCTAGTTTCTCTGAACATAATTATAAAGGCCTTTTTGGGTTCTTTAATAATTTTTGCACTACTCCAGTCATTTGGGACTTTTCATGGGGTCTTTTAGCTCTTTGTATTTACCTGTGTGTAAGTATCTGAGTCTGATCTTACTGGAGAGCATCCTCTGCAGCCCCCCACCCTCTTTAGTCATTCCTAGCCCTCTTTATCTCTCATCAAAATTTTAGAATTTCATTCTGAAGACCCACCAGCCTAATCTTTGGCTAACACCTTCTTCAGAGTTTTTTCAAGTGCTGTGAACATTCCCAGTCTTGATGTCTTCCCTTCTTTTTATTTTTTTGAGTTTTCAGAGTCATTGTTTGTTTGTTTTTATTATGTTCAGTTAGCCAACATGTCTTCCCTTCTTAAAACAGCTCAGGCAGTTATCCAACCACAGCAGCTTTCCCCTCCCTGTTATAAACAGTGCGGGAACATGTTCCCATTGTCACAAGCTTTCTGGCAACTTGATCTCAACAACTGGAATCAAATGAGAAAGGGCTTTTGGTGGCTTATATGTTTTCTTATCCTGTAGGTGACTGTGCCATTGACTGCAGGTAATAACAGGGTCTCTTTTGGTTTTCCAGGTGGCAAACAATGTGATTTCTTCTGATTCTGTTTCATCTTCTACCAGTAGTTTCTGTAGCTCAAGCTCTACCGTTGGCAACAAGCAAAATGTACAAATGTTAAACAAGAGCGTACAAGCAGGTAAGTTACCTGAACTTAAACATTTCCATTGAAATACAAGTAGATCTTTAACATATGTTAAGATACTCAACCTCACAATAAAATGAAGATTAAAACTATACTCAAATGCCATTTTTCACCTATCAGACTGGCAGAAATCTAGGTCTGATAATAAGTTTGTGGGCACAAGTGTAAAGAAGTAGGTGCTCTCATACAGTCAGGTTGGAAATGCAGACAATCTCTAAGACAAGCAATTTGGCAGTTTCAATCAAAATTACTTTGACCTGGCACTTTTATTTTTGGAATTTAGCCTATAGATATGTTGTGCATATGTGCAAAATGACAAGTGTACAGAATTAATCATTGAAGTAGTGTTTATTATAGCCAAAATTAATTTTAATTTAATTTTATTATGTTAGTCACCATACAGTACATCATTAGTTTTTGATGTAGTGTTCCATGATTGTTTTCATATAACACCCAGTGCTCCATGCAATACGTGCCCTCCTTAATAGCCGTCGCCAGGCTAACCCATCCCCCCACCGCCCTCCCCTCTAAAACCTTCAGTTTGTTTCTTGGAGTCCATAGTCTCTCATGGTTCGTCTCCCCCTCCAGTTTCCCCCCTTTCATTTTCCCCTTCCTTCCCCTAATGTCCTCCATGCTGTTCCTTATGTTCCACAAATAAGTGAAACCATATGATAATTGACTTTCCTGCTTGACTTATTTCACTTAGCGTAATCTCCTCCAGTCCCATCCATGTTGTTGTACAAGTTGGGTAGTCATCCTTTCTGATGGCTGAGTAATATTCCATTGTATTATAACTAAAAGCTAAATCAACTTAAGATACCCATCAATAGCCAAATGCTTAAATAAATTATCATACATCCATATAATGAAACACAGGGTGAGGAAACTCTCTCTACTAATATGACAGGATCTCCAACATTGATAATTAAAAAGAAAAAGCAAAATACTTTAAAAAATAAAAGAAGATAGCTGCTTGAATATGTGCAAAAAATTCTGGGGTTACAAACTGAATGAATGGAGAACAGCAGTGTGAAGGAGGCTTTTCATTTACGTTTTTCTATATCTTTTGATTTTATGTAACAAAAATAAATGTTGCCCTTGATTCCCCCCCTCCTTAGGTCTTGTCTTTGTATCTGTCAACCTCTTCCTTACCTGGGTGACTGCCAGGACTATAAGCATTAACTGTCTTTCTCATTTGGGGTCAGAACTGAAATCCTGGGGCCCCTGGGTGGTTCAGTTGGTTAAGCATCTGCCCTCATCTCGGGTCATGATCCCAGGGTCCTGGGATCGAGTCCGCAGGGATCCTGCTTCTCCGTCTCCCACTCCCCCTACTTACTGTCTCTCTCTCTCTGTCAAATAAATAAATAAAATCTTTTTTTTTAAAGATTTTATTTATTTATTCATGAGAGACAGAGAGAGAGAGAGAGAGAGGCAGAGGGAGAAGCAGGCTCCCAAGGAGCAGGGAGCCCGATGCGGGACTCGATCCCAGGACCCTTGGATCATGACCTGAGCCGAAGGCAGACGCTTAACCATCTGAGCCACCCAGGCGCCCAATAAATAAAATCTTTAAAAAAAAAAAAAAAAAAAAACTGAAATCCTTTACCCATTGAATCCATGTTAGTTGTTTTTTTTCCCTTTAATATCTAAATTGACTTAGAAATAAAAACCTTCTTTCTTTCTTCTTCCCTCCCTCTCTCTCCCTCCCCGCCTCTGTCTCTCTGTCTCACACCCCTCCACACCACCCAGAGGAGGCAGTAGCCTGCATTTTCGAAGGCTTACAGTTTTCATTTACTGAATTGAATACACATGCTAACTAAGTCGCAAGGCTACTCCCAGGATATCTGTGCTACTCCCAAGATATCTGTGGATCTTTTTCCTCAGGTAATTTGGAGATTGTGAACGGTGTCAGAAAACACACTCGAGATGTTGGAATGACTTTCCCAACTCCAAGTTCTAGCGAGACTAGAATAGAAGAGGACAGTGATGTGACTTCTTGGTCAGAAGAAAAAATAGAAGAGAAAAGACTTCTCGCCAGCTATCTTGGGGACAAAAAGTTAAGGAAGAACAGACACAGTTGCTGTGAAGGTCAGTTTCTAATTCCAGTTTTGTAGCCAAAGAACTAATGAATTTCAAGTCTCTCGCAATGCTAAGATTCTTTATCTCTAAATGACTCTATGTTGACCCCATTTCCCTGAGCACTACCTTGGCACATTTTCAAAGTATCTAGCACTGTAATTACAGTCATGCCTGCAGTTTAGCAAACTCCGGGGCATCCTGGTGGCCTCTGACAGCTGAGTGCCCTGAGAGCCTATATTACACACATCTTTGATGAGAAGAATGAAAAATCTTTTTTCTTTCTTAAAAATATTTCCCATAGGGGTTTCATGGTTTGTTCCCGTGGAAAATGTGAAGTCTGGTCCTAAGGAAAACCTGCCCAAGCATCATGGCCCTGGTATCTGCTGGTTTGCACCAATAACCAACACCAAACCGTGGAGGGAACCGCTGCGGGAACAGAACCGGCAGGGACAGCACGTGGACAACCACGGGTCACTAGCAAGCCCAGGGAGAGACCCACTGAAGCCGTTTGTGAGAGCAACCCTACAGGTGCGGTGACCCTGAGTTAATTTTAGCCGCGTGTTGAAGAAGGTCAAAAGGGGAAATACGAAGAAGTTAAGACTGTGACTAGGCCTTCCAAAGAACAGTCCTGTAACCCTCATTTCTAGCCCTTTCGCAGTTCATCTGTTCCCATTCTCATCGTCAATCAAAGGCTGCCTCACTGTTAACCCTTGTAAATTGGGCGTTGCCCTCTGTACCTGGGACAAGGCAGGAGAAGGGAGGATGTTGTGATGCTGCTCACTGGGGTCGTGGATACCTGCACGTGGAGTGCTCCAGAGGTCTGACGCTTGTGTCAGCCGTATGCGTGTTCCTCCATTTACATAAGTCCTGTTCCTGCATAGCACAAAGTCCCTTCTTTATATGGACCTTGGCGCTGAAAGAAATGTCATTTAATAAGGTGTTTGTTTGAAGGGAAACTTAAAATAGCACAGTAGGCTGAGCTCTAGCCCATCGGTATTTGGGCGAGTTGTAATTGCCACAGTCTTACTCCTTGGCTTACTCCGGGGGCATTCTTTGCTCCCTTTGATATTCCTCCTGGAGCTCTCCCCCACAGAGAGTTGTTAGATTGTTCTTCAACTCTGGGTATTTTCTGCACTCTAGAAACAGGCTCTTCAAACCACGGTGGGGCCAGTGCTGCTTTCCAAGCCCGTGGAGAACAGATTGCATCATTAACGTGAGGTCGGGGGGCCTTTTTTCCCCGTCAGGAATCCCTTCAGTTTCACAGACCTGACTTCATCTCCCGCTCTGGGGAGCGAATAAAGCGTCTGAAGCTAATAGTCCAGGAGAGGAAGCTGCAGAACATGTTGCAGAGTGAGCGGGAGGCCCTGTTCGACACCGCGGGGGAGCGGCAGGGCTGCCGGGACGCCACGCGCCCGCTCCTGAAGAGAGGTACTCTCTGCCTCTTCACTTGCCTCTCATGGCTGCAGAGGGCACGGCCTGCTTCCCAACCGGGGGGGGGGGGGGGGGGGGGGGGGGGGGCCCCCCCCCCCCCGGGGGGGGGGGGGGGGGGCGCTGCTCGGTGCCATCCCAGTCACAGGGACAGAAAGGGCCTGCCTTCCTGCTGAGACTCCACTCTCCCTGGGCAGCAGAACCTGCCCCGTGCGGCTCTCAGTGCTCTCGTGGTCCACACAAGCCCACGGCTTCCTGCCCTGTCCCTGCATCTTAGAAACCAGAGTGTGCGGTGAGAATGGTGTATTCATAAGGCAGCTGTGGGTCTGGGAGCACGTTCCAGGATTGCCTGCCTCGTAGGGTGGTGGTGGTTGTGGTGAGAGTGATGATGATGGTAATGGTATTGATGATGATAATAATAATAATATGTAACCTTTACATGTTTGGCCCAGGCACGGTTCTTGTTCAGTGCTTAGAACACCTCTCTGAGGCAGATGCTATTTAATATCCCTATTTTACAGATGAGAAAACAGAAACAATGAGAGCTTAAGTCCCTTGCCCAAGATCATACACCTGCTAAGCTGGGATTTGCTCGCTTTAGATTCTGTGCTCCTAAGAATTCCGCTAGGTGTAAGATCTCCATAAAACAATATGTGAACGCTGTGAAAACTACCAAGTGCTACCTACTGCTTTCATCACAGCCTTACTATAAACCGGCCAGTGTTTCTGTTCACACTGTCTGGTCTGTGCTGCAGCATGTTGTGTCTTCAGGAGCCTGCTGTCACAGGCCCCATAGTCTAACCCTGGCCTTGGCCTTGGGCAGTGCTCACCACCCAGTACTGTCAGCTCAAGGTAGGGACACCAAGTCCTAGGGCTCCTTCTCACAGTTCTTGAGTGACACACCCTTCCCTGTTAAGACAGTAGCCACTGAAAACCCCTTCTTCTCATGCTTAGGCTTCCTGGATGCCCGAAAGAACAGGCCTGTTGGGAAGAAGGAAATGATTCAGAGGTCTAAACGGTAAGGCCAAAAGAATAAGAGTAATTATAAAAGTATAAATAAGGCCACCAAGTGATCAGGAGCTCTGGCTTGCCCCTAGAATAAAGACGTTATGCTCAAGTTAAAACGTTATGAGAAAATTAGTTGTGAAAGAAGTTTCTTATTTATAGCACTAAAAAAGGAAAGAAAAATAGATAGCAGATTGTGGTATGGATGAGTCAGATAAAAAGATGCAAAGAATTCCCACTAATTTGCATGCCTTAGTCAGGCTTCTCTTTGTTAGAAACCTAAATATAAATAAAGATACCTAAAATATAAGATATGAATATTTTGAAATAAGTGTTTATTTCAGGCATTACCCTTTATCCACACAATCACATTTCCAGGAATTTATGCAATACAGTGAGAAATAATGAAATACTAAGACATATGAAGCTTCACAAAAAGTCAAGTTTGGGGTGCCTGGGTGGCCCAGTGGGTTGAGCGTCTGCCTTCGGCTCAGGTCCTGGGATCGACCCCCATGGCGGCTTCCTGCTCAGCGGGGGGTCTGCTTGTCCTTCTCCCTCTGCCGCTCTGCCTGCTTGTGCTCTCACTCTCTCAAATAAATAAAATCTTAAAAAGAAAAAGAAAAAGTCAAGTTTCAAGCAGTGTGCACTGCTACCATGTGCAGTGTTTAAAACGTATTTGTGCCTATATAGATGCATATACTTTTATATGCATAGAATATCTCTGGAAGGATACCCCAGGAAACGGTAATAGCACTTGCCTTTGGGAAGAAGGACTGAATGACTAACAGATAGAAGTAGGACAGAGACTAATTTTTTGCCTTTTTATCCTTGCTGAATTTTGTGCCATTGCATGCATTAGCGATTAATTAGCAGTATGCATGTGTCGGTCATGAGAATCCCATGGATTTAATTGACATATAACATTGTGTAAGTTTAAGATATACAATGGGATGATTTGATGTATGTATATGCAATATGTTTAGCACACTACGGTTAGTTGACGTCTCGTTTACCTCACATAATTACCATTTTGTTGGTGGTAGTAGTATTGGTGGGGTGCTGGGGGTGTTCTCACTGTTATGGTGAGAACATTAAAGGTCTAGCAGAGTTCAAGCACACACTGCAGTATTGCTAACTAGAGTCACCACGCTGGACCTTAGATCCCCAGAACTTTTTGCTCTTATAACTGGAATTTTGTGCCCTTTGGCCAACATCTCGTTATCCCCATCCCCCGCCCCTGGCAACCACCATTCTATTGTCCATTTCAGTGAGTTTGATGTTTTTAGAATCCACATATAAGTGTGATCATACAGTTTTGCCTTTCTCTATCTGACTTATTTCACCTAGCATAATATCCTCAAAGTCCATTCACATTGTTGCAAATGGAAAGATTTCCTTCTTTTTTATGACTGAATGATAATATAATAATATATTATATTTTCTCTATCCATTCATCCGTTGATGAACACTTAGGTTACTTATGGTAGTTCTATTTGTAATTGTTTGAGGAACCTCCACTGTTTTCCCACAGGGGCTGAACCAATTTACATTCCCAACCAGCAGTGCGCGAGGGTTCCCCTTTCTCTACATCCTTACGGACACTTGTTATCTCTTGCTTTTTTTTTTTTTTTAAGATTTTATTTATTTGACAGAGAGAGAGAGAGCACAAGCAGGGGAAGCAGCAGAGGCAGAGGGAGAGGGAGAAGCAGCCTCTCCTCTCTTGCTTTTTAAATAATAACCATTCTAACAGGGGCGCCTGTGTGGCTCAGTCGTTAAGCGTCTGCCTTCGGCTCAGGTCATGATCCCGGGGTCCTGGGATCGAGCCCCGCATCGGGCTCCCTGCTCCTCGGGAAGCCTGCTTCTCCCTCTCCCACTCCCCCTGCTTGTGTTCCCTCTCTCCCTGACTCTCTCTCTGTCAAATAAATAAATAAATCTTTAAAAATAAATAAATAACCATTCTAACAGGTGTGAGGTGATATCACATGTGGTTTTCATGAACAGCAACTTTTAAAAAATGTAGGTATGTTCCTCTTTGGTCTCGTTCCTGCCCTCCACTGTAGTGTTTTCAGTTAGCGATCATCTCCTCCATATCCAAAACCGACCTCCCCGTTCTCTACTCCCACACTTGCTTGGGCCACCCCCTCATCCAGCTAGAGAGCTGGGGAGCAGTCACCTCTAGCCATGTTACCCCCCGCTACACATGGGGCCAGCTAGCACATCCTAGACACTCGGCTTCTTGATTGCTCTGGAACCTGCTCTCACCACCTTGGTGCAGCCTGGCCCCCACTCTCAGAGGACGCTGTTCTTCCTGGTTCTGCTCTTTATTTTTTTCTCATTTATTTTCCACAGAGCCTCTATGTCATTTTCAATGATTTTTTTTTTTCAAATTATAGAAGCTTTGGAAAATATAGAGAAAATGAGAAGAAAATAAATGTCACTGATCATCCGTCCATCTAAACTGAACTAACACTAGTCCTGTTTCTGGCAGGAGTGGGGGTTTTGCAGGGACCTGTATTCACACACACTTACTTTTTCTCAAGTTGTTGATCATACTATATATACAGGTTTGTAGCCTGCTTTATTTTGCTCAACATATATATTGTGACATTTTCCCATATCATTAAAAATTCTCAGATTCTTTGAAATATCTTTTTTATGCTTTGTAATAATTCCATTATATTCCATAATCTGTTTAACTTTTCTTTTGTGGGAAATTTAGATCATTTCCAATTACAGTATATTTATCAAATGCATCTTTGATCATGTTCCTCCCTACTTAAAATCAGTGGCACCCAATCCTTGATAGGACAGAGCCCAAGGTTTTCACATGGCCACAAGGCCCTCCACAGCCCACGTCACCTTCATCTCATCTGCTTCCCGCAGGACCCCCTGCAGGCCTCTCTTTGAGGCCTTGACTCTTTCTTACCATACTCCCTTCTCCTCCCATCCCCTCTCTGCTCCTGTCTGTAAGACCCACCTTTCATTTCTTGGAGCTCTGTGTAGCATTTTGTACATAGGGCCATTATTGTACTTTTCTTTCTGTTATTTTATGTGTGTTTAAAAATATACTAATTAATACATGCTATTATTTTATATTGAAACTGTCCATTTTTGCATATAGAGTAAAAAGCTGTTATCTCCACCCATTTATCCCACTCCTTTCTCAGAAGTAACCACTATAAGCAGGGTTTCTTGATGTTTTTATTCATCTGTCTGCCCTCCCAGATCATGAGCACCCCAGGCCAGCGTTCTTTGTGTCCATCCGTCTAACAGGAAGCAGACCCACGACAGAGGCCCCAGGCCGTGTTTGAGATCTAAATGCCCTGACAGCAGGAGACCTTAGGGACGTGGGGAAAAGAGATCATGTCCCTCTGTGTTTGGGTAACCTCACTGCTTTTTGTTTTCCTGCTGGCACCATTCCTAAGGATTTATGAGCAGCTTCCAGAAGTTCAGAGAAAGAGAGACGAGGAGAAGAGGAGACTGGAATATAAGTCATACCGGCTGCGAGCTCAGCTATTCAAGAAGGTCAGTCAGCCCTTGAGCAGGATCCATCAGGTTTATCAGGGGAAAGAGAAATTGAGAGAAACACATCTGACCTGTTTAAATTAACCATATCTGGGAAGTAAACTTAAGCTTATAATGCATTGTACCACTGCTGAAATTTGGAAGATAAAGGCACCTTCATTTGACTAGACTTCAAATAAAAAAATCTAAAAGGTGAATCTAGAAAAGGCACCTTCCAGGCATACATTTGGAACAAAACCAAATTCTATACTTAGGAGTCATGGTGGAAACGTCCAAATCTATCAGAACTGTTGGATTTTCATTCTAGAGTCCCAAATGGTAGTGTTGTGCCCCTTATTGGTAAGTCAAATACCTCTAGAGCTTGTAAAATAAACTGGAAAGTGTCCGAGTGTAGCGTAAGAGTTGGCAGCTTGGGGACTCAGAGCCTCAAAGCCACCACCATTTCCTGCCTGTAGCCCAGTGGAATCAGTGGTGCCGCAAGACCCAGACCCTCCGAGGCCAGGGAACTTGCTACCAGTATATTCCTTGAGAAGCCAGGCAGGCTACCATGCCTGAAGGTCCATATCCTTCACTGTTCTCATTTCCTTCCCAACCCCTTCACTTCACCACCAGAGGACTCTGAAAGTCAGAATCCAAAAGACAAGTTTATACCAGACCGATGTGGGATTGGAGAACTGCTTCTGGAGCACACCTGGAGCTGGGCTGGGCCGGGCCCTTCGAGGAGGGGTTCCCCAGGCGCCACATGGCCTGTCCAGTGGGTCAGCATCACAGGCCAGGCCTCTTGTTGTGCTCGTATGTTTGAACTGATGGATGGATGGGCCTATCCAGATCATAAGTGATCCGTATCTGTACAGAAATAATAGATAGTGACTATATAGATCATCTTTCCTAAACACTTCAGGAAGAATTTTTTTGCATAATTACCATAGTTTCTGTAACTAGGGAAAATAAACAAGATTTGGGTAGAACCCCACTGGTCTCTTCAGCAACACGTCTGGGGTGAGGATTGGCTGCCTGCCTCTGATGGCAAGAATATCTAACTTTTTTCCTGTCTTTCTTTTCTTCCACAGAAAGTGACCAATCAGCTCTTGGGGAGAAAAGTTCCCTGGAACTGATAAAAGATTATTTTCCTCACAGTCTTGGAATTATATTTTATCAACCTGAAGAAGCACAATCCTTTTATGAGTCTGGTTTAATAAAACTTAACTCCTCGTCTATGTTTAATTTAGAAGTAGTAAGTAAGTAGTCTGAGGCAGAGTGGTGATTAGGATTATTAATGGTTTGGGAGCAATACTTTCTCCACAGCGGCCTTGCCCACAGGAATGTTTGTCACAGTGATATCATTTCTGAAGTCTAGCCACGAGTGAGTCCCTTTTTGTATGTGTTTTTATACTTTTAGAAAATAAATAACTTCTGATTGATTCATAGTAAAGCAATCGGCAGAGGGTCATTTCTTTACCATCTGGAGATGTTCAGGGAGCTATGTGATGTCTCTCCTGAGGTGTATGGGGAGCCTCTATCTAAAAGCATCAGTCAAAGGAAATGGGCTGTGGGAATGAAATATGGCCTTTTTTTTTTAAGATTTTATTTATTTATTTGTCAGAGAGAGAGAGTACGCGTGCACAAGCAGGGGGAGTTGCAGGCAGAGGGAGAAGCAGGCTCCCCACTGAACAAGGAGCCTGATATGGGACTCGATTCTAGGGTCCTGGGATCATGACCTGAGCCAAAGGCAGACGTTTAATCAACTGAGCCACCCAGACGTCCCGAAGTATGGCCCTTCTTTACAAACACAGCAGGCCATGACGACAGCTCCTCCTTGGGCTTTGTGGAGATGGGGTCTGGTTAGAGTTGCTTTTGGGCGTGCCCGGACACTCCCAGCAGACCAGGCACCTTGGGTTGAGAGCCTCCTCTTAGCTTCATTCCAGCTTGCCAGGGGCCTCTAGCCTTTGGTGGATTTTCCTCTGGCTACCCTCTCTTCAAGATTGAAGCCTCAGAGCATTTATCATCACACGATGGAACCAACATTTTATAACCCGGATAACCACTTCTGAAAAGTATGAATTAATAAACTTAATAATGTACGTAAAGCACTTAATTAATCCTGTAGCCTGGAATGACAGCTAAAGCCCAGAGTTGAGAGGGGGGGGAAGGTGCTAATCGGCCTCATTCAAAATTCAGGGGAGCCCCAGCAATATCGTAAGGGACCAGCTGCCTCCCCAGCAGGCTTCTGCAGAGGCCAAGTTAAACAGCAGACCCTGCCTCCAAGCACAGCTCAGAGGGTGCCGCCAAGGCTCCCTTCCTAACCCAGAAGGAGGCTATGAAGAAGGCTCAGACACTGACTGAGCCAGCCAGGCACCCCTGCCTGATCCCTTTGTTTTGCCAGGCCTAACACAATGTGTAGCATGTGTTTGACTCAATAAGGGTTTGTTGAATGACACACAGAGGGTCATCAGTCCAGATTGGAGGCCAGAGGTTCTGGGAAGACTTCAGGGAGATCTAATTGATAGATTCTCTAAGGCACCGTAATGGTGCTGAATAAGTGACAGCTATATAGGAAAAAAAAGAAAAGAAAACTAAACAACCCCAAAAAAGATAATTCCAAGGAAAACAAAAATCTACATAAAAGAATAAGCAATCATAGTTTTACTATGTAGCTTAGCTTAAAATAAACACATAATATTGATGTTCCCCAACCAGTGGTCTAATCTCTTTGGGAAGCTGGGGAGTGGGAAGGATGCACATGCGTGATGTAGACATGGCCTCGACTCCCAAAAAGTAGTCCACAGACAAGCTTAAAACAGGATTAGGAAGAAGCCACACAAGTCCCTTAAAGACATGGAAATAAGTGAGACCTGAAACTTGAAAAATCCTAGAAGAGAGCACAGGCAATAATTTCTCTAACGTCAGCCATAGCAGCATTTTTCTAGATAGGTCTGAGGCAAAGGAAATAAAAGCAAAAGTAAACTATTGGGACTACATCAAAATTAAAAGCTGCACAACAAAGGAAACAACAAAACAAAAAGACAACCTACTGATGGGAGAAGATGTTTGCAAATGACATCCCATAAGGGGTTTTACAACTCAATACAAACACACACACACACAAATAATGCAATTAAAAATCAGCAGAGGACATGAACAGGCATTTCTCCAAAGACATCCAGATGGCCAACAGATGACATAAAAAGATGCTCAACATCAGTCACCATCAGGAAAATGCAAATCAAAACCACAATGAGATATCCCTTCACACATGTCAGAATGGCTAAAATCAAAAACAAAGGAAACAAGTGTTCGCAAGGATGTGGAGAAAAAAGAACCCTCTTGCACTGTTGGTGGGAATACAAACTGGTGCAGCCACTCTGGAAAACAATATGGAGGTTCCTCAAAAAAATTAAAAATAGAATTATGATCCAGTAATTCCACTAGTAGGTATTTACCTAGAGAATATGAAAACACTTATTCGAAAAGATAAATGCACCCCTACGTTTATTGCAGCATTATTTACAGTAGCCAAGATATGGAAGCAACCCAAATGTCCATCAATAGATGAATGGATAAAGACAATGTGGTACATACACAGACACACACAGTGGAATATTACTCAGCCATAAAAAAGAAATCTTGTCACTTGCAATGACACGGATGGATCTAAAGTATAAGGCTAAGCTGAATAAGTCAGAAAAAGAAAAATACCGTATGATTTCACTCATATGTGGAATTTAAGAAAACAGACAAAAAAGACAAACCAAGAACCTGTCTCGTAACTATACAGAACAAATTAAGGGTTACCAGAAGGGAGGTGGGTTGGGGGATGGGTTAAGAAGGTGATGGAGATTAAGGGGTACACTTATGATGAGCACTGGGTAAGGTATGGAAGTGTTGAATCACTATATTATACACCTGAAACTAATAACACTATGTTAATTATACTGGAATTTTTTTAAAAGCATTTTAAAGATACGGAAGTTGAGTGTGCACAGGGAAGTGTAGAGCTGCTCTTACACATCACAAATCTATAGAACTCTGACTCTTGAAAACGGCACATACATAATTTTGAGAGAAATAAAAAAAACTAAAGAAATGTGAAGGGCAAAACAAAAAATTTAGAAGTAAATATAGGAAAGTGTCTCTAAACTTAAGAAAAAATGTCAAAGGAACAAAGCACAAACCATAAAGAAAAAGATTGATAAATTCAATTAATGAAATGTAAAAATTCTGTATTAAAAGACACCATAGGGGCGCCTGGGTGTCTCAGTTAAGCATCCAGTTCTTCATTTCAACTCAGGTCACGATCTCAGTTTTGTTAGAAGCCAGGAGTTTATAAATTAAGGTAGTATACATATAACATTTTAGAAGGGGGAAAATAAAAATGGTCAGGAAGCCTAAGAGCAGATCAATTAAGCTAAAACAATTCAATAGACAAACTACATACTGTCAACAGTAAGGACAAAATACACTTTAAATCATTTGAAAGGAAAACAAGGTAGCAGTTTGAAAGTATGCGATGAGAAAGAAAACGAAGGGCATGCTGTGTAGGCGAGCAGCTGGAGAGACAGGGTGACCTCCCAGATAGGAATCTGTGTGGTGGGCAGCACCCAGCCCCCAGCGGCTTTGTCCTGTTTACCATCCTCCCCTCACCAGGCAGGCGTCGGCCACAGTTCAGCTTCCCATGCCCACTCTGGAGTCCCTCATATCCAACTGGAGCTCAAGTTCAAAGATTCCCCAGGTTATCCAACATCATCAAGGATCCAGACTCCATGCCTTCAGTGGTTGGGGGAAAGGGCCCCTCCCCCATGTCGCACCCAACAGAGGACAGACCCCACTCCTCCTCCCCTCCCACTTCTCAGAATGCCCCACGGAGAGAGCTCTGCTGGCACCCACTGTCCTGCCTAACCTCACTCCCCTGACCCCTCCCAGGCTTGGGTAGGATCTGGGCTCTGTCCCAGCCTCCTCTTAGGGCGCTCTGCCCTCCTGTTCCCTAGACCCACATGCCGTGAGGGTGCTCACTTTTTCCCTCGGGCACTTCTCTACCTCATTGGGCATCTGCGTCAAACAGCTGGTGCCCCTCTCCTCTGGTTCACGCCCCAGGGAGTGAAAATGCCCCCAGAGGGGAGATGTTGGCTGCAGAGAGGAACCTTTAGGTCCTGCTCTCCCCTATGAGCTTTCTCTAGCCGTAGCTCTAGGTGGCTTGGCCCGCAGGGGCAGTGCCCCTGTTTAATTTCCTCTAATGCTCAAAGTAGATGCTGTCTTTCCCACTCAGCCGCTAGCTTTATTTTTTTTATTAAGATTTTATTTATTTATTTGACAGAGCCCGGAGAGCACAGGCAGGGGGTGTGGCAGAGGGAGAGGGAGAAGCAGACTCCCCGCTGAGCAGGGAGCCCAATGCAAGGCTCTATCCCAGGACTCTGGGATCATGACCTGAGCCTAAGGCAGGCGCTTAACTGACTGAGCCACTCAGGCACCCCAACCACTAGCTTTAGAACCCCGGTCTGCCACCTGGTCCATATTTCCTGCATAGTTGTTCCTAAAATAAACTTCGTATAATAAGACTCATATTTAGCAAAATCTAAACTAGGTTATCCCCAGGATATAGAGCTGAGCATTTTCACACTGATTTTGTTCAGAAGGTAACCACCTGGTTTATGATACATGGAAAATTTATTCGTTAACCTCCCTAATAATGTCACCCCATTAAAAATTCACTATGTTCCCACTGTATCTTAAATGTTTTGTTTTTTTTTTTCTGAATGGTTTTTAAAAAAATTTAACTCTGCCCAAAAGGTGGAAACAGCCGTAATGTCCATCAAGAGATAAATGGATGAACCAAATGTGTGCGTGTGTAATATATCATATTACTCAGCCTTCCAAAGGTAATGAAATTCTGATATATTCTACAATATGGATGAAACTTAAAAAACGTTGGTAAGTGAAATAAGCCACACACAGAGGACAAATACTGTATGACTCCACTTAAACGAGATACCTAGAGTAGGCAGATTCCTAAAAAGGTGGAATAGTGGCTGCCGGAGGCTGGGAGGAGGGGGTGAGGAGGGATTATTGCTTCACGGGTACAGTGTTTCTCTTTGGGGTATTGAAAAAGTTCGGGAAATAGATAGTGATGATAGTTGCACAACATTTTGAATGTAGTTAATGCTACTGAACTATACATTTAAAATTTGTTAATATGGTCAATTTTATGTAATGTATATGTTATCACAATATTAAAAATGTGAGGAGGAGGAAGAAGAGGAGGCACGGCAGAGCGAGGGAGCATAGACCTTCCTGCAGGTACCCACTTACACGCGCACACACGTGTGCCAGACGGAAGAGGCATGTGCCCGCAGGCAAAACCAAAACAAGCCTACCCTAGTTTAACCAGCACACTGTTACATAAAAGGAAACTGGGTGTTCTTAAAATTTTACCAAGTTC